CCGCCCCGGGAGGGGGCAAAGGGGAGGAGAGGGGCGGAGGGAGGAGCGAGGGGGAGGGGGAGGCGGGCAGCTCCGCCCCGCCGCCGCCCCGCAGGAAGTGCGCCCTGAGCCCTCCGCCGCTGTCCTCCGAAGGTCCCACCTCGCCCCCGAGAGGCTGGCCCCTTGGAGGCTGCGCGCTGCCTCCAGAGCGTATGTTTAACGGAAATCAGAGGTGGAAAAAGACGTTGCAGGATCCCGTTCCATTCCACCCGCGGTTACAGATGCGCCCTACGGGCAGGCACGCCTGGGGCTGGGGGCTTTGGGGCACGCACGTGAGTCGGGATCTTCTGAGCTCTAAAATAACTCAAAATGCAAGGAATTACAACGCGTATTATAGGAATGGCATACAAGGCCATGAGTCTCAAAGGAGATCAAGAACATCGGGTGGGGAACCTAGAGGGGAAATCAAGGCAGCAGTGTGGGGTTTCTTCAGATGCACGCTGAGGTCCCCCTGCCATCTCGCTTCTGCAGTTAAGCCAGGTTTATGTAAGGTTAAACCTCAGAGGAGTGAGCATCAGTACATAAAGACAGGGAGTGCTGCGAATGATAGATGACTCCAACTCACACCTTGACCGAACTGCCTTTGCAAAGAACCGTATTTTTTTATGCCTTCGTGCTTCCTTTCCAGGCCTTTGGCTGAGCTGGATTCTCAGCTCTGTTTGCTAAAGGAGTGGAGACAGTCAAGGCGTTACTTCGGCTCTTTAGGGTGGAAGTTCACCTTATCTGTCTCTGCAGCTTCTGTTCTCAGGGCCAAGTCACTAGAGGTCATCAGTCCACCACGGACAGATTGATACTAGCAAGGTAGTGGGTAGGGTGGCTCATGGTGAGGGAGCACAGTTCCCCCTATCTATTGCCAAACTCTTTAGGTGTGTCGAGTTTCACCTGACAAATCTTGAAGTTGGGATTCACTGTGGTCTCCAGAAGCAAGTGATACTCCAGCAGGAGGAGAATGCAGAGAATCGAAGCTGACCCAAAATAGCACTCGGAGACTCACCAAGTTTCAAAGATCTTCCTTATTTCCCCTGGTGTAATTCACCGGGCCTTAATCCTGGAGGTGTCATCTTTTATCACCCCGACATGGGTCTGCCTTGGTTGAAAGAACAGGATTCAGGAGGCACGGGGAACAGTTCTAAATGCTGCATCTACCTCACTGGAAAGCCAATGTCCACTCCTCTTGGAGTTGGGTAAAATTAATACTTTTATATTCAAAGGCTGTTTACAACTACTACAGACCCTATTGGCTGTTCTTCTGATTAGCATTAAAATAAATAGCATGAATATAACTAGAAATGAGTGTTCTATAGATGTATAACATGGGTATTTTTATTGAATGGTTCATTTATTTAATGAACCTTAATGGACTGGTTTCCTAACCTAAAAAGGAGGAGAGGGAGCAGGTAATAAGACTTACCTTATATGGTCATTGTGAGAATGAAATACCATTCTCTATGTAACGTTCCCAGCAAAATGTTGGCGTGGAATAGATGCTCTCTAAACATTAGTTCCCTTCCTTTCCCTCTCTGATGGGCTTTCTCTACTACTCTTATGAAATGGTAATGATAGAACTTTCATAATTAAACATGCTGCACTCCAAACTCCTCTGCTCAGTTTAGTTCAGAATATCATTTTTCTATGCTCCCACCAAAAAAAGAAAAAGAAAACAGAGTTCCTAAAAGGCCTTATGAAACAGTTTATTATTTATTTTCCAATTTCCTGGTTGGTCAGTGGCATCTGGCCACAACGATCCAGTGGGTAGTCATCAAAACTAAAGAAAGTGAACTTCTGTGGAAAACATTTTGGTATAAAGTTTCCATCATTCAAATTTAGCTCAGGACTGCCTATTCATATTCACCGTTTCCTGTTGTATTTCAGTGTTCCTTGTGGTGGGAAATCGTCACTGAAATAACGTTGTGTCCGAGAGTCCGTGACTAGGCTTCTACTAAAAGTTTTCAAAGCAACATGGTGGTGAGGAGGAAAATGAAGTTTTTATGCCAGAGCAGAAGGTTGTAGCGTTTGTTGGAATTTGTAGGGGGAAGCTTGGATTTCTAGGGCTGAGTTCTGAGGAAGAATTCACTGGATGTATGTGCATGGGAACACAAGGGAGATGCCACCAGAACCCAAGAACACAGCATGGGGCTTTCCCCCATCCATACAGAATTGTAGGCCATCCACTTAGGCTGGCACCTTTCAGGAGACAGGGCCTTGAGCCCCAGAATTCGGTAAGTTTGCCAAGCTGGAATCCGGCAACCTCACTAGCAAGTCTATCAGGGCTTTACAGGAGCACCCAGACCTCAGAAACAAAGCAGAGTCACGACCAAGTATTCTCTCTTTCTCTCCCCTGGTACAGCACGTGCTTAGCCCTTATTCATGTTTGTGTCAGCTGCTTATCCTCTTCTGGTTTTTAATACAATCATAGCTTTATTCTATATGGCATCCCAAACCCTGCCTCAAAATAACACCACCACTTCTGAAGTGGATGGCTGATGAGGACAAAGGAGGTTTTCAAAGAGCATTCAGAGTGACATGTAGAAAGCCACAGAGGGCTGTCTCAAACAGGAGGGGCAACTGAGAAGGCACTATTGCCAACAGAGGCAAAATTGTACAGACAATTTAATTCAGCCAACGATGTCCCAGGAAAAAGCAAAAGCCAGCAGGTCCACTTGAGGCCAGGATCTGAAGAGTTTTACAAACAAGAAATTGGATCTTGCCCCAGAACCAGCAGAGAGGCTTGTGGGTAAATGACAGGATCATTTTATCTTTCCATATTGAAGCTCCTGGCCCCAAAAGCTTGGAGACCCTCTGCAGTGGCTAATGCACCACAGATCACGGAGTCGGTGCCTGAGAACCACCTGTGAGTTTGTTCAATGCAAATTTCTAGAACCCACCCAAGAGATTCTGATTCTGGAGTGGAGACTGGAATCTGCATTTTTTAAATAACCTCCTGGGTGATCTCATGCTCCTGCTGATGCTCGTCTATAGACTATACTTTGAGCAACACTGTTCTCAGAGCTCCACCCATTTCTCTAAACCATAAATTGACATTCCAAACCTCCTTTTGTAAATAGCATTTTTTAAGTGCTTACTCGGGAGAAATTTCCTGTTTGCTGAAGAGTTGCTTAAAAGTCAAATTTCTCTTACAAAATTCTATTACAAGGTCCTTTTACTCTAAACTTCTATGGTTATTTTTATTGAGCATCTACCAGGTGCTTAAAATTTGGGAGAAGAGCTCAGATGAACTAAACTATCTGTTGACAGATTCATTTCAGAGCTCTGGCTGTGAAATGTCTCACAATGGAGTGTGATATTTTCCAGAGCCCCAAAAAACTTCTTTGGCTGGCCCGCGGTCTCCTAGTAACTGAGCCGCATCTGGCCATAGAAACGTAACTCACCGCCATTACAAGGGATGCCTGCTACCTGACTTTCTTCACAAGCAGACTCTCGAGTGTGTGGGTGTATATGTATTTTGTGTGTGTGTGTGTGGTGGCTACCCACTTAGAGAGGTTGGGCTGGAGAAAATATTGAGCTGACAAGTACTGGAAGCTGTGGCATTGAGTCTTATTAGCAGCGAATCTTTGAATACGAGGGAAAACCTATTTATTGGCTGTGTGCTCCATGATAGTGTTTGGTTCCATCACTAGGAATGATCCTTAAAAGGCATCTAGGAGATGATCATTGACATCATATGACCCAGCAGTTCCACTCCCAAAACACAACAGAAATGCATGTGGATATTCATCAAAAGATAGACTCAAGAATCTCCTCAGCAGCACTATTTGTAACAGCCAAAACTAGAAACAACTCATGTGACTCAACAGCAGTATAGTCACACAATGGAATCATATACAGCAATGAGAATGAAGCAGCAACACAGTGAATGAATCTCACAAACATAACATTGAATGAAAGAAGCCAGACAGAAGAATAGCTACTGTACAATTCCATTTGTATAAAGTTCAAAAACAGGCAAAACTAATGTATAGTGCTAGAAGTCAGAGTAGTGCTACCTTTAGGTGGGGTTCTAGGGTACTGATAATATTCTGTTTCTGAATCTGGAGGCTGGTTCTTTGTAACAATCCATCAAGCCGTACTTTTTTTTTTTTTTTTTTTTGGTGAGTAAGATTCTCCCTGAGCTAACATCCTTTGGCAATCTTCCTGTTTTTTTTTTTGCTTGAAGAAAATTAGCCCTGAGCTAACATCTGTGCCAATCTTCCTCTATTTTGTATGTGGGATGCCTCCACAGCATGGCTGATGACTGGAGTAGGTCCGCACCTGGGATCTGAACCCATGAACCCGGGCCACCAAAGCAGAGCACACAGAACTTTAGCCTCTCAGCCACCGGGCTGGCCCAATCAAGCCATACATTTATGATTTGTGAGCCTTTATGTTATACTTCAATAAAAAGTTTACGTTAAGAAGGCATCTAGTCTGTGACCCTCAGTTCATAAGTAGGGAAACTGAGGCCCAGAGATGTTAAGTAACTTGCTCCAGGACAACCAGCTAGTGTTACTGCTAGTGCTCCCTTCTACTTGGGTGCATGACGATGCACAGATGGGTTAGTGAATGCTGGCATAAGTAAAGCCAAAAGGTAAAGGAGTGAGGAAATAAGAAAGAGAGGGGTCAGCAACTGTTAGTTGC